TCCAGGCAGTGGGTGTGGTTTGGGCTTTGCTTCTGTGAAGATTGACAGCCTTGGAGACCCTGTGGTGCAGTTTCACTCTGTCCTCTAGGGGCGCTGTGGGTCAGAATGGACTGGATGGCACACAAGAACAACAATCATTATGGAAGCAGATTGCCAGGCCTTTCTTCCACATGCCACTGGGTGGGTTTGAACCGCCAACCTTTAGGTTAGCAGTTGGGTGCAATTATTTGCACAACACAGCAGGTTAAACAGCAGATGGGGTAGGTGCTCATGCACATGTCGGCTGTCCTTGGCTTCGTGGAGATGTCTGCTTCTAGTGGCTGGGAGGGTGCAGAGGGTCAGCCCTGTCCCTGCCAGTCCAGTCACATGGCTGTGGGACAGCTCTGCTTGGGACAGTGCTGTGCGGTGTCTCTGGGGTTGGTCCGCTCATTCCAGAGGGAGACCTCAGCGGCCTCAGAAACCTCCCAGGAAACACTCATTTCAAACTCAACTCCATTAACTCCGGCTTCTGCAGACTTCTGTGGGGACTAACCAGAGGTCATACCCATGCAGGAAGGTGCCTGGAGCTCATACCATGCCCAGACGAATGCAGCCAACTGTGGGCTTTCCTCGGAAAATCCCTGGCTCCCGCCTCCCTCCCTCCTTCCTTGGGAAGGCCCGCCAGGCCTGGAGACCAGCCCTAGGCCTGTGTGCGTGGGAGCAGAGTGATGGCTGCGGGCCTGCAGGGCGACTCAGCAGGAGCTCTCCACCCAGCCAGAGTCTGCTCTGGGTGTCCCCAGAGCCGTCTCCCCTCCTGGGACAGAGTGCCAGGGCCGAGGGCCAGGGCTGGGCTGGTGGCGTCACCACATCGTCTTCAGCAAGGTGGCACACAGTAGGTGCTCAATAAATGCTCAGTGTTCAGCAAGCCTCCAGACTGGGCAAGACAGGGAGTGAGTGGACCATGAGGTCCAGCTGTGGGGTGGTGGCGGCAGGAGCTGATCAGGACGTCGGGGCAGGACGAGAGGACCGGCTTGATGTAGCAGGGATCAGCACCAGGAGCACTGGTGGCCCGGTGCTTACGCCCTCAGCTGCCAACTGAAGGGCTGTGGTGTGAAACACTGCAGGAGAAACACCCGGTGATCTGCTCCCTTGAAAGCTGTTCTTGCTGTTAGGAGTCATCGCATCGATTCCACACGCACAGAGGAGCAAACCCGGCCCGGTCCTGTGCCCTCCTGACAGTCGCTGCTGTATTTGAACCCACGGTTGCAGCCACCGTGTCAGTCCATCTTGCTGAAGTTCTATCCTCTTGCTCACTGACCCTCTACCAAGCCCCATGTCCTTCTCCAGGGACTGGTTCCTCCTGATGACGTGTCTGAAGGATGTGAAACGAAGTCTCACCATCCTCACTTCAAAGGAGCACGCTGCCTGTATTTCGTCCAAGACAGAT